GTAGCCTTGTGAACACATTCGGAGTTCTTAAGAGTAAATTCAGTCAATTTTAATTGGCTACATTTAACACGTTAATATATGCCTACCTTATGTAAACGATGATCTTGATGCTTGTAATTCGCAACAATTCCCCGAATAATATTTCCTTTGATTTTCACACGACTTTAGGGTCTACAGTGAAATCACAATTAAGATTTACAAGTCGTTTTTCCTTCACAAAATAAACTGGCCGGGTCCACAAAACTAACCTCAAAAAGCTTGGACAATCAACCTCTTTGCAAAAGAGAACGGATGAACTAGCAGGCGATGAAGGCGATGGGTTTTTTCCCTGCCTTTGTTGAGATCAAATATTACGTCAGCAGTGACGTGAGTGCATCCAAAAATATATTGATGCCACGAAGCTATTTAAGCTGAGGTCAACTAAGGCTTGAAAAACCACTGCAAAAACCGTCAACGATCAATGTAGCCCAATGTTGGATCAAAAAAGATCGTGATCAGTCGAGAAAGATAAAAATAGAATTAAAGTCAAAAAGGCTACTGCAAAGTCTGATCAAACAACTCCTCCTTAGTCCTCCTTCGTAAAAATACAGCGAAAATAATCACAAGAGAAGATTACGAGCACTTCGTCCCCCTTCATTTTTTATTAAGGCCTGCTTTTGCAATTTGAATCCTCTGAGTTAGTAGATTGCCGGTTAAATTTCACAGGGAAAACAGTTGTCAAGTTTAACTAGTAAAAGTCGGTTTGCAAACAAATCCTAGAAAGAATGTTTAGCTAGTTAAAGTGAAAACACAACCATATACTACTGTAAAATAATAAACGGAAGTTACATGGTATGACGTGGTAAGGTGTGGCTGCTAAGAAGTAAACCAAAACTGAAAAATGAAGATTACGTAATGATTATAGTTTGTCACGTTTGTTCATTCCCAGAGGCTCGATGGTTTTGGCTTTATTGGTTTTTGGTTTTGAATGAGGTGCGCCTCACGTGCTTTCCTAAGACAATCGTGTTCATACAGGTGTTTCAGTTGGGATAAGTAACATATGGGAAACAGAGTGGCTATTGCTGAGAAAGTGTTCTGAAACTGCGGTTTGCATGTAACTCCCGGAAGGGTTAAGTATAGGGCGTCTTTGTTCTATACATAGACGCCCCATACTTAACCCCTGCGGTAACTACATCCAAACCGCAGTTTCAGAACACTTTCTCAGCAAACACCACTGTTTCCCATATGTTGCTTACAACATTTGTTGTGCTAGGCCGTATCAACAACAACAAGTTTTTTCAGTACTACCATTTTGTACAGGTGTTACCGATTAAAATAAAAATAAATAGCTAAATTTAAGGAAATGAAGATATAATGGAATGGGGTGAGTTTATTAGCAGATCGTGATAGTTTGCAAAGTCGAATCTTTTCATTGTTTCCTCATGTGTCAATCCGCATATTCTCTTCGTCCACGCAATCAACTAGACTACGCTTTATTGAATAGCGGAAAGCAATTACAGTTTCCAGTTTACGATATTTCTCCACTCAAAGCCTCTCCGGACCCTGACGAAGACGGATTGAGCAGCAGCAGGGACGCAGCGCCGGCCCCTCTGACATCGGATCCGGGAGAGGAGCTTATGGAGCTCCAAAAGCTACTCACTCAGGCCAAAGAGGAGAACAAGGCCCTGGAAAGAACGTTTCAACTGGAGGCCATGCGTCAGGAGTTACAGGCGCTTCGTCTGCGCAACGAGCAACTCGACCGACGCCGTCATGCGACACCTTCCATTAATGGCGGTGCGAAGCGTCTTCGAGAAGACACTAAACCAGCACAAGTTCTTCAGGACTTGAGGTCCAAAAAATCCCTTTCCACCGGGGCGGACAAATTCCTTGCTACCCTGGAGGACTCATCTTCTGAGGAGGATAGTGACGGAAAAGACCACATTCACGTTTCTAGAGGTAGACGCCACACCTTGAAATCAGGGAAAGACAGTAAAATAACAAGCCGAGTTCTTTCCCCTCAGTTATGGCCCCACAGTCACCTTAGTTTATCGTACATCTCCAAAGAAAAGAAGTACGATGATTTATCGCTAGCTGAATTTGCTGCTGGCTATGCCGCCATTCTTCAGCGCCCCACCCTTTCTCCCTCGGAACTTCGCGCACGCATCGACCATTTTGCAGCCTTGATGTACCTGGCCACTCAGTATACTTGGTCTTCAGTACGCGATTTGCAAGCCGCTGTACTTTTTGAGATAGAATGTGATAGAGCAAAGTGGGGTGATTCTTTTACTTATTTGGAATCTCGCATTTTACAATCACTGTCAAGATCTTCGCGTTCGGGAAGTGGAGCTTCACGCTCGGAAAATCCTGCGTCCGTATTCTTCTGTCGTGATTTTCAGCATGGTACGTGTAAACACCAGAAAGATCACTTTGGCACGCTTCGTGGTGAACGTAAATGGTTTCAGCACATTTGTGCCCGGTGCTGGGTCGACTCGCGGCTTCTTGCGCGTCATTCAGAGTTCGCTAAGGAGTGTCCCCTGTTCACAGATACCAGTAAACAGAAGACGACATCTTCTGCGGACAGTCAAGTTTGACTCTCTCGTGACCTCGGATTGTCGTCCGTCCCTTTCTCGCAAGACTCTAGACTTATTTTGCTTGGCACTTGCCAAGCTTCATTACTGCATGACAGCTCTCTTGACGCCCGGCCTTTTCACTCACTGTTGGCCGACTCTACCCCAGTGTTTATGGAATTTAATCAAGACTCTAGCCTTAACCCAGTTTTGGATGAATTTTCGCGTGACTCTAGACTTTCTCGTTGTTGCGGGCAATTAGACTCTAGACTTAACTCAGCTTTAGATGACTCTTTGCGTGACTCTAGACTTATTAGTTCTTGCGTGCAGCAAGACTCTAGACTTACGTCAGTTTTGGATAAATTTTCGCGTGACTCTAACCCTTTTAGTTCTTGCGTGCAGCGTCAGTTTAGTGCAGACTCTCCTCCTTATCTTAATGGGAGTTCTGATCTTTCAACTTTTGCGGATGCCAGTTCGGTCACGCCCGAATTAGCCAATTTAGTAGATAATGCTTCATCCTTTTCTTCGCACGACCTTTGTTCTTTAGGGTTGCCGAGTAGCTTTCCCGTTCCCAGATTCCCAGTTGTTCGTCTTCTGACTTCGTAGGCGATTCGCAGCTTTTTGTTTCTCTTCATCAGCGGGTGCACGCGACAGGGCTTCCCAATTTCCGTGGCGCGCGCTTAGCGGTTCCAACTTCGCTTAACATTCCCTTGTGGCGTTCTTTGTTGTCGGAATATACGGATGTCGGTGTATGTGACTTTTTAGAATTTGGGTGGCCAATTGGTTATGATTATCGTGGAGCATTGCCTTCGAGCGTATTTCGTAATCACAGAGGCGCTATCGATTTCCCCTCGGCCGTTGACAGTTACTTGTCAACGGAACTAAGATTAGGTTCTGTTTGTGGGCCGTTTGCACGCAATCCATTCTCTAGTCCTTACGCGGTGTCTCCTTTGAATTTTGTGCCGAAACAGGGCTCTGATGAGCGTCGCTTTATTCTTGACCTCAGTTGGCCAGAGGGCTCGTCAGTCAATGATGGCATCTGTAAAGATTTTTACCTAGGCGAACCGGTTAACCTCACCTATCCTACGGTCGATGATATAGCGGAACGTATAGTTCAGTTCGGGCCCGGCTGCTTGTTGTTCAAACGGGATCTCAAACGAGCACACAGACAGTTGCCGGTCGATCCGTATGATTACCCTTTACTCGGTTATTCGTGGGGCGATCAGTTGTTTTTTGACGTTCGGTTACCGATGGGTCTTCGCTCAGCTGCTATGGCCTGTCAGCGGGTCACGAATTCGGTTTGTTTCATGCTTTCTCAGGCCGGTTGTTTCGCGTTAAGTTATTTAGACGATTTTATGGATATTTCTACCCCGCATGATGCTGACCGACACTTTGAGCTCAGTGGCTCACTTTTGCAGGCCTTAGGGTTACAGGAATCTTCACAGAAAGTTTGTCCGCCGTCTACTCAAATGATTTGTCTCGGCGTTCTCTTCGATACAGTTAATTTAACCATGTCCGTGACCCCGGCTCGTTTACGCGAAGTACAAGATGTCGTGTTGCCTCAGTGGCTTGTTAAAAAATCCGCGACCAAGACCGAGCTACAATCGCTTATAGGTAAGCTAGCCTTCGTTTGTAAATGTGTTCGTCCCGGTCGTTTGTTTTTGTCTCGTCTTTTGGATACCCTTCGTTCCTTACGGCGTCCTCGGCACCGCGTCAGGTTAAGGGCCGACTTTAGGAAAGACATTCGATGGTGGCTTCGTTTTCTTCGTGTATATAATGGTGTTTCGTTCATTCCTACCCAGTTATGGTCTTCTCCGGATAGTGTTTTTTCAACGGACGCTTGTTTAACAGGTTGCGGGGGAATGTCGACTAGTGAATTTTTTCATGTCGAATTCCTCCTAGTGTTCTCGCACGGATCCCAGCTATTCACTTGTTGGAGGCCTTAGCCATCGTTGCTGCTCTTCGGTTGTGGGGTCGTCACTGGCGCGGTCTTCGCATTTTCGTATATTGTGACAATAGTGCCGTGGTCAGCTCACTCAACTCTGGACGGGTACAGGATAAGTTGCTCGCTTCGTGTTTACGCGAGATTTGGTTTCTCGCCGCAGTCAACGAGTTTGAGCTCCGCGCTTGTCATATTACTAGTGTTGATAATCGTGACGCAGATTTACTTAGCCGCTGGCATTTGTCGTCCGCATCCAGGGATGAGTTTCTTTCGCGTTTCGGCGATCTTGGCTTGCAGTTTGTTTCCGTCCCCATGGAATTTTTTCAATTGTCGGATTACTGCTGAATTTTGTTTTCTTTGCTTTCTCGTCCGTAGATTCTTCGTTTGCACAGTTGCGTAAGGATCTCAAGAAGACTAAACGGGCCGCTTACGCCGCTGGAACACGCAAGAACCATAGAACTCAATGGAAGGTTTATTTGTCTTTTTGTCTTTATTTCGATCTGCCGTACCATCCTGCCTCGTTGGATACTGTGTGTTTGTATTGTCAGTTTTTAAGTCGTTCCATGACCCCTCAGTCGGTGAGGAATTATCTAAGCGGCGTAAAGCTGCTTCACGTTGTTACCGGTTTCGATTTTCCTTTCTACGAGACGTTTGAGCTGCGTTTAACTTTGCGTGGCCTTGACCGCATACATCGGCATCTCCCTTCTCGTGCCCCGCCGGTGATACCCGATTTACTTCGTGCTTTAGTGCAGTGCCGGGGTTCACAGTTTGATTTCGTTTTTAATTGCGCCTTCCTCTTCGCATTTTTTCTTTTTGCACGCATTTCCAATCTTGTGCCAGTTTCGGCTCGGTCTTTTGATCCCGCTAAACATTTATGCCGCGGAGATATCAAAATAACTAGTTTCGGGTTATCTGTTTCTTTCAAATGGTCTAAGACTAATCAGACGGGCTCCAAAGTACTCGCCGTTCCCCTACTTAGTAATTCTGACCACCTTGTGTGCCCGGTCCGGGCCTACTTGAAGATGTGCACCTTTCTACCCGCTCCCGCTTCAGCCCCTGCCTTTTTTACGCTCGAGGGCCGTTCCGGTCATTATACTATTATTACCAAGTCGCAATTCGTGTCGGTTTTTCGATCGCGTCTTCAACGTCTTGGGGTTTCTGACTGTTCTAAGTTTAGGGGCCATTCCTTCCGTAGAGGGGGAGCTACGTGGGCCTTTCGTTCTGGTGTTCCAGGCGAACTTATTCAGGTTTATGGTGATTGGGCGTCTGACGCCTACAAAGTTTACCTTGAGTTTTCCGAGGATGCTAAGCTGCGCGTCGCGCGGCGTATGATAAGTGCTTTCGATGAATAGCTCCTTTTTCGTTTGGGGTTTTGGCGGTCGAGAGGTTCTTCGGTGGATAAATTTTCGCCTTGTTTTTGTTTCTATCTTTTGTTATTTCACTGAATAAACCTCTCATTGTGCCAAACGAAAAAGGTGGTTATTCTTTTATGTTTTAGTTATTAATCTAGAGCAATAGGAGAATTGGGTGATTTTGAGCTTCGCTTAAAATATTTAACTAGAACCACTACGCGGAACTTACCGGGGCCCAGTGGGACACGGGATTGCATAGTTTACCTCTCGCACCCCTCCCCCCTCCTCTGTGGAGGCTAATACTTAGTCTGAATTAACTCATGCAGAAGGAAAGCAACAAAATGCATGAGAAAGGAGGATGTTGTTGTAAGTTTGTTCAGTGTTATGACAGCTAACGGTCTCTGTTATAGTAGTGTTTTTACACTGTGATGTCAATAAGTGTGATCTGTATAAGGTTTTTATTTGTTTTTAAGTTTGAGTGAAAGAGCAAAAATCACTGACAGTTTTGGGTTGAATGGTAATAACAAAGTTTGCAAAGAAGTTTGTTACAGAATTATCACAATTTTGCCTACACGGTCTGCATTACACTTCTCATAGAACAAACATGCATGTTCATGGAGAGCCTGTAGTGTTGAAGAATCCCAGTAAGTGCATGATTTGATG